CACAAAGTTGGAGCTATTTTGTCCATGAGCTCGAATTAGGTTCTCTATTGTTCAAATTAAATTTGAATTTTGTTCCCATGATTTGAACTACATTCAAGCAAGATTTTGACCAATTTGATTTTCTTCTTTTACAGATCAATTTGAGTTCCTTCAATTGATTCATTGAGCTTTATTGAAAACATTGCCACTCAATTGTCATCATCAATTTCCTTTGCTAATCGACATGGAACCGTTGAATGATCTTCTAATCTAGGCATACAAAAAAACCAAACATGCTCCACAATTACAATTGCTTTGATGTTTAATAAGAATTTTAAGACAAATTGAACAATTTTAAAATTAAACAGAGTAAAATTTCTTAAAATAAGAAAATACTGATTGAATAGAAAAAATTACAATGACTATAAACTTATGATTGAATAAAAAATAAAAAATTTAGCATCAAAAGCGGTTCATTCGAAGGCCCATGCGTGTTCCTTCCGGATCTTTTCTTCTTCTTCGGGCGTGAAATCATTTTCAATTTTAAATATTTGACGGATTTCCTCTGGTGTTTTCCATCGGATTATATTTGCGACTTTCTTGCAAATCAAATCTATCAAGTCTTTCACGCCCAAATAATTGCTGCCTATGATAACATTAAACAAAGAACGAAAATATATGATAATGAAACAAAGGACATAACAAAAAAGAAAATACTTGAACTTGGATAATTATTTACCATGATAAGATCATAGAGGGCATCGGTATCAATGTCAACGAATTTGTTATCAAAGTCCTCAAGCTCTTCGAATTCAGGCAAGAAGTCCATGTGCTTCTTGCAGTAATCAAAGATATTAGAGAGGACGGAGGCGGTGACATTGGGTATTGGAATGACATCTTCTGTGAAATTGTCTTCAATCATGTGACGGATAATCTCAGACTTCATCGCTACCGCCTCTTCCACCACCACCTCCTTTCCATCAGAAGCCATCATTCTTATCATCTTCTTCATCTCGTTGGCCATCCTCGTTCTACCATGTAAAGCCGTTGCTCAATTTATAAATGTCGGTTAAAAAAGCCAAGACCCACCCATTCTTATTTATTGCAAAGATTAGAATTGGTCAAGATTTAAATTTAGAAAAAATATTTTCTTAATTTATCATACATTTTCGGCACCTCTCACATTGAACGCCTAAGGAATAAAATTCCAAACATTGCGCAAGCTAGCATTGACTAAATTTAGCTTTAAAAAGATGAGGCCATGATTTAAACAAGCAAAATCATAGAAAATTTTGTTATTTTAAGCTAAAACTTAAAAAAAAAAAAACCTAAAATTAAAAAGAGCCACAAATTTGTTGCACCAATCACACACGGCCACATGGAGGTACAATGTCAAAGATTGTTATATATAATAATAATAATAATAATAATAATAATAATAATAATAATAATGTGGATTAGATTACTATATTTGGGAAAAATGAATATTAGGACAGGGTCATATAGGTATTATTTGGGGCAGCTTTATTATTATTATTATTATTTTTTTTTTCATATGACGATCATAGTTTCTATTTGGTCATTACTTTTTCACTATATTTAAGAAATTTTTGTACTATGAAACTGCTTTCTACAATAACTTTTAAAAATATTATTTTTTTCCACTTCAGCTTTATAATCACATTTACGAAAAATGTACTTTCATCCTAAACACACCCGTAGTCAATATTTTGAATTTGCATTTATTTTCTAATTTTGAATTTAATTTTAAATTTCAATCAATATTTTCATAATTTTGGGGCGAGGGTCATTTAGGGCCCATTTGAGGAGAAATTATTTTGTGTGGACACCGGACCATCTAGAGGCAAATCAGAGTATGCCACGTCACCCGATATATAGCAGGTACACAATAAAGGGGTGATGTGGCGCATTCTGATTCGCCTCCGCACAGCGTCCGTATCCGCCCATATTATAATTTTACCCATTTGGAACAATAGTTACTTTTTATAAAAGTGGTTGTAAAGCTATTATAAAAATTAGCTTTCTTGCATTAAAAAATTTTAGTAGTGAAAAAATAGGGGTCAAATTAAATTTATAGTTGCAGTTTGAAATCAAAGTAGTAAGAAAACTATCTCAAAAGAAACTTTAAGATAAGAGGAAACTATATATACTATAAAAGTCTCTATAAAATCTTAACAAATTGATGTTTATTACTTGAATCTCCAAATGTTTGAATTTGGCAGTGAAAAAAGAGAAAAAATGAGAACACTTTCTTCAATTATTATTATTGAATCTTCATATCATCTGAAGTGCTAAATTAAAATAGCTTGTTTCGTTTTCTTGTTTCCTCATAGAACTGAAAGGACCTTTTCTATGGAGTTTGAAATTTGGGCTGTTGAGATTTTTTGTTAATTCATCAAAATTGACTGTACTATGCATAATATAAAGGTGCTGCGTTTTGGAATGACTACATTTATAATGATTTTTTTTTAAAAGAAATAACACAAATGAAATGATAATTTCTAACAAATGGCATATATAAATATCTAAAACTTTTTCACCAATTGATTATTAAGCAAAAAAATAAGTGATTTGTAGCGATAAATTTTCATGTGTTGAACATAAAATTTCGTTATGTTTGGCTCTACATTGGCATATATATTAGAGAGATAAAATCCTAATATCTTAGCTTTGAACCAAATATAGCACACATACATATAAAGATAGAGGGCCGGGGTACAAAAGGTTTAAGAGACATCAAGATTTTTACATGAAAAATCCTGAAAAAAGGAAAAAAATCACTGGGTCTGACCCAATTAAAATGATTCCACTAGTGTGTGACGGGATGTCGAAGATACCGTAATCGAAGGGCGAAGGTGGCCAAAGGCACCATAGATAGAGAGCGAAGTTGGTCGGAGTGACCATAGTTGGGGGGAAACGGTGGTCGGACTGACCATAATCGGCTGGCGATGGTGGTGGTATGAGGAATTGTAGTCGACGGGTGGAAGAGGTCACAGAGCCAATGGGTGACGTGGGTTAGATGGACTATAGTCGACGGGCGACGATGGTTAGAGGGATATTATTCCTCGGGCGACAGTTGTCCGACGGACGATATTTCTCCAGCAACGATGGTCATAAGGATCATAGTAGATGGGAGAGATACGGTGGTCGAAGGGTTCATAGTCGCCTGAGGTCATAGGGTCGAGAGGTGACATTGGTTGGAGGGATCATAGTTGGCAGGTAATGGAGTTTGGAGGGCGACTATGGTCGAAGGGATCATAGCTAGCAATATTAGTCAGAGGGAGTGCAATCGCCAAGCGACGTTAGACAGAGGGACCGCGGTTGGCAGAGGATGGTTGTAATAAGTATCTTATTCAATGGGTGATTGTTGGTGATGGAGGTCGCAGGGTCGGCCAGCGACATTGGTAGGAGGGACCATAGCGGATGGGAAATAGTGGTCAGTGGGACGATCTTCGGGGGCGAAGTACGATGGTTGTAGGGACCATAGTCGGTATGAAATAGTAGCTAGAGGGACTGTAGTAAGGGGTGTCAATTTTGGGTCACGGGTCGAGTTCGAGTCGAACCTGAAACTGACCCGACACTATTCGAGTCAACCCGAACCAGACCCATTTTACAAACGGGCCAGTTTTCTCGACACGAACCGACCCGCTTTGGATCCGGGTCAACCCGATACGACCCGAATGACCAAGGACCATGAAAAAAGTGTTAGTTTTTTTTGTCCAAAATAGGGTCAATCTCGGGTTGCCATGTAAAAAAATGGGTTTTTGGGTCAAAATCGGGTCAATTTCGTTTCGATTTCTGGTCAACGGATCAACCTGAATCCGACCCAATTTTTGAAATGGGTCGAACTGTTGAACCCGACCCCGATCGATTTCGTGTTCGGGTTGACCCTAACCCAAAATTTTTGGGTCGGGTTTGAGTCAGGTTTTCGGATCGTGTTAAATATTGACACCCCTAACTGCAGTTGGAGGGAGAAGATTGTCATAATGACCGTAGTTGGAGGGCGATAGTGGTCTAAGATATTGTAGTCGATAGGTGTGGATGTCACAGGGTGGATGGGCAATGTTGGTCGAAGAGATCATAGTTGGAGGGCTACAGAGGTTGGAGGTACCGTAGTTTGCGGGCGACTGTGGTCCGAGGGATCGTAGTCGAAAGGTGGAGGAGGTCGGCAATGAAGCGACGGTCGACATGTAGGCGGTGGTCTGACGATGGTCTGGTTGATGCCTGACAATGCATGGCCGACAATCGGTTGAAAGTCTGGAAGTGGTCGGTGGCTAGGCAGTGGTCCGATGATAGTAGACAGAGATTCAACGGCGATGGTACTAGAGCTCTTGAAGCCTTAATGCTCCCTCCAATCTCTAGCCGAAAATCTAAGTCCCCAGCTTCCCAACATGTAGGAAATGGGGGTCGATTTATAGATTTATGAGAGTGGCATGCCCAGTAAATATGGAGAAAATTTGGGGCAGTTTTGTAGTGCTACATCGGATGGCCCGTATTGATTTGCCCAATCATAGAGCATTTTTCAAGTGTTTACATGGCCAAATGATATGGTGGGTTCTTCTTCCCACTCTTTTATATAGTGATGTTATGTCTACTAAGTTATCATTTTTCCTCATTATAATTAAAGCCATCTCTCAGATTCATTTCAACACCAATGCTCTACTACAGGAAAATGATATCCGGCAGAAAAAATCGTCGGTAATCTAAGACTTTTTTTTTTTTCAGAAATTATAATTTCCAGCGGAATCATTTTTGACGGTAAAAAATTTTTTCAACGAAATGAATTTCCATCAGAAAATTTTGTGATGGATTATCGACGGAAATTTGCTAATTTAACCGATGAATGAATAACCGTTGGAAATTTAAAAAAATTACTAAATATACGACAAAATTTTTAGCCGAGAATTCTGTTGGATTTGGGGCGATTTCTTTTCATCAAGGTCTCTAATTGAAAACTTGTATAGCCACAACAAGTGATTGAAGACCACGCTCAGCAAAATTTGTCAATTATATTATAAAATTTAATCTTAGTATCTTCTCTGCCATTGCAGAGAGTTAAATTTGTTCACATCAACATAAAAGAAAAATGTCATACAAAAGATACTTCTACTATAAAATCTAAAATCAGGAAAAAACCATTCTATCTTACTCCACACCGAGAAATCTATTATGAAAATTGGGAGAAATAAGTACAGATCTCCCTTCTATCTTATTTTCTCCTTTCTTCTCATCTATCTTACTTCGTTTTCTAATTCTAAACACAAGACAAAGTCTAGTTAATAACACCAAGGCATGCCACCCTTCAGAAAAACGAGAAAGAAAACTGTTCAGTCCACCTAGAAGCTTTGCGACTCCAGTTTAGAGCGCTACAA